CTCCCCCCAGCTTTTGTGCATATACATGTTTCTATCACATCATTACGTAGAGGCGGTGATAAAATGTGTAGATTTAAAAATAAAAAAAAAAAAACTAAATTGTTTAACAAAAGCATAAAGAATTCATGGTAGATGATACCCAGTTTTTAAGAGAATGACTGCTATTCATGTTTCTATGGACATCATTACTAGAGGCATCTGATATGTGTGTTTTTATGATATAGGTTATTCTGCTGTCACAATTGAATACATGGTAGATGATTTCGTCTTTTTGTCCATATACATGTTTCTATTGACATCATTACTAGAGGCGGTGATATAGGTGTGTTTTATGATATAGTAATTCTGGGGTCACAAAAAAATACAAATTAAATGGTAGATGATAATCTTTTTTAAAATTTTTTATTATACATGTTTCTAAAAACTGGACATATATAATAGAGGCGGTATATATATGTGTGTGTTTTATGATAAAGGTTATTCTTTATTATCAAATTAATTGAATATATGGTAAATGATAAAATTCTTTTTGTGCATATAAATTAATTATTCATATGGACAATTATTAGTAATAGACGGTGATTTTGTGTGTGGTTTATTCGACTATCAGGTTATCGATCTGCTGTCAATAATTGAAAACCATGGGATATGATAAATAAATCTTTTTATTATTATATACATGTTTCTATGGACATGTAACAGTAAGAGATAAATCAAGTGAACCATCATAAAGTGTTTTGAAAAGATTATTATTGGTTGATTCTGCGTGTCCGTCAATTGAATACATAATAGATGATACTTTTCTTTTTTACGAATTGGTCAAATACAAACTCCTAACAAAAAACATTGTTTTCAATCGGCGATGATATGTTGTGTGTTTTTTATAAACATTTGTCTGCTTTCACAATTTTATACATGGTAAAATAAAAGAAAAAGTGTTCATTCATATTCAAGATTTGTTTGATTGTTTAACATGTTTCCTTATGGACATCATTTCTATGTCGAAATGAATTTTCTGTGTGTTTTAAAAATATGATATAGGTTATTCTACATTCACAATTGAATACATGGTAGATGATACTCAGCTTTTGTGCATATACATGTTTCTATGGACATAATTACTAGAGACGATGATATGTGTGTGTTTTATGATATAGATTATTCTGCTTTCACAATTGAATACATGGTAGATGATACTCAGCTATTGTGGATATACATGTTTCTATGGAAATCATTACTAGAGGCGGTGATATGTGTGTGTTTTTTATGATATAGGTTATTCTGCATTCACAATTGAATACATGGTAGATGATACTCAGCTTTTGTGCATATACATGTTTCTATGGACATCATTACTAGAGGCTAGATATGTGTGTTTTATGATATAGGTTATTCTGCTTTCACAATTGAATACATGGTAGATGATACTCAGCTTTTGTGCATATACATGTTTCTATGGACATCATTACTAGAGGCGGTGATATGTGTGTGTTTTATGATATAGGTTATTCTGCTTTTACAATTGAATACATGGTAGATGATACTCAGCTTTTGTGCATATACATGTTTCTATGGACATCATTACTAGAGGCGATGATATGTGTGTTTTTTTATGATATAGGTTATTCTGCTTTTACAATTGAATACATGGTAGATGATACTCAGCTTTTGTGCATATACATGTTTCTATGGACATCATTACTAGAGGCGGTGATATGTGTGTTTTTATGATATAGGTTATTCTGCTTTTTTACAATTGAATACATGGTAGATGATACTCAGCTTTTTTGGATATACATGTTTCTATGGACATCATTACTAGAGGCGTGGTGATATGTGTGTGTTTTATGATATAGGTTATTCTGCTGTCACAATTGAATACATGGTAGATGATACTCAGCTTTTGTGCATATACATGTTTCTATGGACATCATTACTAGAGGCAGTGATATGTGTGTGTTTTATGATATAGGTTATTCTGCTGTCACAATTGAATACATGGTAGATGATACTCAGCTTTTGTGCATATACATGTTTCTATGGACATCATTACTAGAGGCGGTGATATGTGTGTGTTTTATGATATAGATTATTCTGCTGTCACAATTGAATACATGGTAGATGATACTCAGCTTTTGTGCATATACATGTTTCTATGGACATCATTACTAGAGGCGGTGATATGTGTGTGTTTTATGATATAGGTTATTCTGCTGTCACAATTGAATACATGGTAGATGATACTCAGCTTTTGTGCATATACATGTTTCTATGGACATCATTACTAGAGGCGGTGATATGTGTGTGTTTTATGATATAGATTATTCTGCTTTCACAATTGAATACATGGTAGATGATACTCAGCTTTTGTGCATATACATGTTTTTTGGGATGTAATTACTAGATATGATGATGTGTGTTTTATGTTGTAGTTATATTTTTGAATACGGTTTGATTTCTTTAAGAAATTGGAGGATAGTATATGGATTAATATTCTGAAAGAATTCTTTCATATTGATTGTTTGGCTGGTTGATTTTGTTTAGTAGTATATCAACCTCTATGGGTTATTTAATGCCAAAATCTAAATATTTTGAAAAATTTTATAGGTTCAACTGAATATGTTGAGCGCAAATACAGATAAAAAGTATTGTTGGTCATTTTGTTATAAATTGTATTGTTCGTAATTTTTTTATAAAATGTATTGTTGGTCATTTTGTTATAAAATGTAATGTTGGCCAATTTCCTATAAAATGTATTGTTGGTCATTTTGCAATAAAATATAATTTTGGTCAACTTGCTATAAAATGTATTGTTGGTCATTTTGTTATAAAATGTATTGTTGGTCATTTTGTTATAAAATGTAATGTTGGACAATTTCCTATAAAATGTATTGTTGGTCATTTTGCAATAAAATATAATTTTGGTCATCATTACTATAAAAATAAAATGTATTGTTGTTCATTTTGTTATAAAATGTTCTGTTGGTCATTTTGTTATAAAATGTAATGTTACTCAATTTTTATAAACATGTATTGTTGGACATTTTACTAAAATGTAATTTTGTGTCAACTTGCTATAAAATGTATTGTTGGTCATTTTGTTATAAAATGTATTGTTGGTCATTTTGTTATAAAATGTAATGTTGGTTAATTTCCTATAAAATGTATTGTTGGTCATTTTGCAATAAAATGTAATTTTGGTCAACTTGCTATAAAATGTATTGTTGGTCATTTTGTTATAAAATGTAGTTGGTCATTTGTTATAAAATGTGATGTTCGTCATTTTGCAATAAAATGTAATTTTTGAATACGGTTTAAAATGTATTGTTGGTCATTTTGTTATAAAATGTATTGTGGTCATTTTGTTATAAAATGTAATGTTGGTCAATTTCCTATAAAATGTATTGTTGGTCATTTTGTTTATAAAATATAATTTTATGGTCAATTTAATATAAAATGTAATTTTTGGTCATTTTGTTATAAAATGAATATGTTGGTCATTTTGTTATAAAATGTAATGTTGGTTAATTTCCTATAAAATGTATTGTTGGTCATTTTTTAATAAAATGTATTTTTGGTCAACTTGCTATAAAATGTATTGTTGGTCATTTTGTTATAAAATGTATTGTTGGTCATTTTGCAATAAAATGTAATTTTGGTCAACTTGCTATAAAATGTATTGTTGGTCATTTTGTTATAAAATGTATTGTTGGTCAATTTCCTATAAAATGTAATGTTGGTCATTTTGCAATAAAATGTAATTTTGGTCAACTTGCTATAAAATGTAATGTTGGTCAACTTGCTATAAAATATAATGTTGGTCATTTTGTTATAAAATGTATTGTTGGTCATTTTGTTATAAAATGTAATGTTGGTCAATTTCCTATAAAATGTGTTGGATATATATCAAGTAGCAGGTGAGTATTCTTTTCTTTGTTTCCAAAGAAATTTTCCTGTCTCTTAATACTCTGCTTAGCTTTTGGAATGCGTCTTTGGCCATTCCAGTACGCATTCGAATCTCAGCGTCGCACTTAACGTCCCTCTGTCAGGACACTTATTTAAATTTCTGCACCTGCTTGATTTTAATGTCCCCGACATATAAATCGCATTTCGGGATTATCCTTTTATGCTGACAATGCATTCTGTCTTCATATAGTTTACACTTAGTCCCTTCTTCTCGCTCTCCTTTGCTGCCTTCTGTAAGAGGTTTTGTAATTTCTTTTCCATGTCTGTTATCACCACTGTGTCATCTGTATATCTTATGTTAAGATTGTGGCCGCCAATGATGAATCCCTGTAAGATTTCTAATTCTCTCATAATTGCCCCTCTGTATAGATTAAATAAGTCTATCCAACACGCTACATTATTTATTTTCGAAATCTAAATATTTTATACGCAGCTTTGTTTTTTTATTTTATTTTATTTATTTTTTTAGATAATAATAGTCTAGTTATACAAGCCTTACTAATTAATCCATAGTTGGGGGAAGAACATATCGATTCATACGTTTCCCAAGAGTATTTGCGCCTACGTAAATATTATGAAAACAACTGGAATTGCAACTTGGTTCTCTGAATAACAATTCCGCGCCATTATTCCCAAGCGGTCACCCATCTAAGTACTAAGCTCGACGTTGCTTAACTTTAGCGGTTGTCTTTCTAACATATCCTCATAAACAGAACTTCTTACCTGCTTCGATACCTCTCACGCAACAATCTCATTCAGTAACCGGCTATGGCGTGTGTCTCTTGGGTCTTTATTGAGTGAAGAATTAGTAATAAAAAAAAGTCTGTAACGGAGTTTGAATACGATACCAAAATTTATCGGTCGAAGCCCGTAACCATTTCACTACTGGCACATTCTCCAGCCTTACCAACACGCAATAAAGCAGTATAATTCTTGGAGAATGGCATCCGAAAACGCTTAGAAAACATTGGACTATTTCATTCTTACAGGAAACCAGAAAAGGCAAAAATTTTCGGCCGGATGTGGACATAATTTTAATCTCTTGTCTGCCATTTCGAAAATCCCATAGATAGATAGATAGATAGATAGATAGATAGATAGATAGATAGGAAGAGAATGAGATAGATAGATAGATAGATAGATAGATAGATAGATAGATAGATAGATAGATAGATAGATAGATAGATTAATGAGAGAAAGATGATGGCTGAAGCAGGCTGAGATAGATAGATAGATAGATAGATAGATAGATAGATAGATAGATAGATAGATAGATAGAGAGCATACTGAGATAGATAGATAGATAGATAGATAGATAGATAGATAGATAGATAATCTGTGAAATATTAAAGTATTGGTAGTGCCTATAATTATTCGAGTATTTGCTTCACTTTAAAATCCTCCCTCTATTAACTCTATTTTTCGGCCGGATGTGGACATAATTTTAATCTCTTTGTCTGACATTTCGAAAATCCCATAGATAGATAGATAGATAGATAGATAGATAGATAGATAGATAGATAGATAGGAACAGAATGAGATAGATAGATAGATAGATAGATAGATAGATAGATAGATAGATAGATAGATAGATTAATGAGAGAAAATTAGATGATGGCTGAAGCAGGCTGAGATAGATAGATAGATAGATAAATAGATAGATAGATAATTAGATAGTGAGATAGATAGATAGTGAGCATACTGAGATAGATAGATAGATAGATAGATAGAAAGAGAATCTGTGAAATATTAAAGTATTTGGTAGTGCCTATAATTATTCGAGTATTTGCTTCACTTTAAAATCCTCCCTCTATTAACTCCAGCACCAGAATAAATTAGTTTTATAAGTCAATGGCTAAATATCTAGTATATATGTATCTATGCTTCCACTGAGCATATGTGCGAGTGTGTGTTGCAGCATTGTGCGTGGCTATCAGTCTACAGATATCGGTGTGTTTATATGCGCCGACCAGTATGTGTGTGTCTACCCTTACCAGAGCACAGCTTTCTGCGTAGAATGTACAGTGCACTAAAATGGAAGTTTACATAAGTGTGCGTGTACCAAGCACATAGAGAAAATGATAACGAAAAAGAATATCTTTTTATGTGCGTCAGTGTACGCACTTATTTATATGCGTGTGTATGTGTGCGTGTCTGAGTGAGAGAGAGAGAGAGAGAGAGGGGGGGAGCTGGGGAGACATGAGATTTCTTTGCTAATTATTCACACTCTTTCAATGAATATAAATCCGTGTTTAAACTGACCAGATTTTCTCTTTTCTCGAAGCCCACCCACGGTTTACGTTCGTCGACTGACCAAGTCGGTACTTACGTGACAGGGAACGACCTTTTCCCTTCGCCTCACCGACGAACTACACGCCTGACAACCGAAGCTCCGTTGCACGTGTTTATTTCAAATTCATCACCAATTCCCAAAACTATTTTCACAACATTTTGATTGTATTTTCTCGAATCGGTTACTGGTAACAAATTCGGACATAAAAATCCATACTGTCCCAATAAATGTCTGCATCCTCCTCCTCCTAGCCTCTACTTTCGCAAGAGCCAGATCAGGCCGAAAATGGAGGACTGCTGCCATATTTTGGTCGGAGCTGCCCAGTCGTCACTTTCCAATATCGATAGGCTCCAAAATCGTTATCGCCGCCTTGTGGGTGATAAATTATGTTCCATTCCTTTCCCACAGGCGAAACGTCACAAGCTTCTTGCCGCTCTCTCGCTATTTCTATGGAAAGTGTTAAGGCAAACTACATTCCTTAGTTCATCTGTTCTAACCTTCTCGTCTTAGACCCGCACAAATGTTAGCGAATCACCCTCATTCCCATCGTGTTCTATTGGCCAAATATACTTCCTCGATCGCTACGATCTTAACATGTTCACGTCTAGGGTCAACCGTTATCTTCCCCACATATCCACATAAATTTGTACCTCTTACTCTAATAAACCTCTTTTTAGGCTTTGTACAGAGTGAACAGCATTGTAAAATAAATAAATAAATAAATGAATGAAAAAAATTCTAGCGGTATCACTTGATTTGGGTCCAAAATGTGGAACATGTATAAAACTTTTTTAACAGCTTATCTCTTCTCTGATTTAGCTATAATATCTGAGTAGGAACCTACTGCGGTGGAAAAAAAAAACTCTGCCTCGTCAGTCATGTATCGAAAGATACATGATCGCCTAAACGCGTATCACGCATGGCACATAAATGATATGAGTGGAGAAAAAAAACAAGCTGGTTATATTCAATGTCTCGAAAACCAAACTAGTTACAGTCCATCACCACCAATCAGACCCCGAACTATCGCCAATCACGATGAATGAATGTTCCCTCAGAGACCCCACGTGCCTTGAGCGTTTATTCTGCCCTAAACTTTTGAGCCCTGACCACCACTTTACCGGTAGTAGGGAAAAACGACGCAATGCCCAGCCACCGGTTGAAAAGTGATAGAGAAAAATGATTTAATGCCCAGCCACCGGTTGAATGGTGGGTAAACACTTATACCTATTTTTTTTTATCTACCGTAGAACATTACATACCAATTATTTGCTAATTTTAACTCAAGAAGCTCAGGCAGAAGGGTTAAAATTATCCAGGAACGTGGGGATCAAAGTGTTAAACTCAACCCAGACCTAAGGTGGAACTCGTACTTACGGTCCATCGCTATAGATGCTGGGAAAAAATGGTCTCTTCCCTAGACCGCTCCAGTAAGTACCTGACTCCTCTATCTTCACAAGAAACAGATCAGGCCGAAAATGGAGTACTGCTGCTATATATGGGCAGGAGCGGTCCAGTCTTCCCTTTCCAGTCTCGGCAGAGTCCAAAAGCATCTCCGTGTTCTTGTGGTGACAGATTATTTTCCACCCTACAACCCCTTTCTCACAGGCAAAAAGTTGCAAGACTCAGGCTGCACTATCGCTATTTCTATGGAAAGTGTTCGGACGAGCTATATTCCTTTGTTCCGCGAGTTCTAACCTTTACAGCCAAGATCCGCCATGCTACGCACATTGCAGCGAACACCCCTCATCTCTTTTGTATTCCATTTGTGAGATGTAAGTTCCACACGAGGAGCTTCTTCCCGTGAACGGCTGTTCTGCGGAACCGACTCCCAAGAGGGTGTTCCACCGATAACTACAATTTTCACCTGTTCAAGTCTAGGATTAACCCATATCCGCATAAAGTTTGAGTCTTACTCTGTAAGCCTCTACCTCGAGTGGCTACCGGGCCTTGTACAGGGTAAAGTTCATTGTAAAACAAAAATCATTTCCTTATTGCGATTATATAGGGTGCAAATTCTTCATAAATATTCACTTACCAAAAACAGAAAACCTGTGTTTTTTGTGAGGTTTTGCTTTCTGCATGTGTCCGCAAAGAGAGAGAGAGAAAGGGAGATAGGAGGGAGAGGGGGGAGATAGAGAGGGGGAGGGGGGAGAGGAGAAGGAGATGGGGAGGGGGGAGAGGAGAGAGAGATAGAGAGGGGGAAAGAGAGGGAGGAGGGAGAGAGAGGGGGAGATAGAAGAGAGATAGAGAGAGGGGGAGATATAAAGAGAGGGGGGAGAGAGGAAAGAGAGAGAGAGAGATGGAAGAGGATTATGGGTAGAACAAAAGTCCACAATTTTTCTTTTTTTGTTTACCGAAAACACTAAAAGACTAAAAATCCAATTTCGAATAATACTATTAAAAGTAGTTCTGGGTATGACGATAAACTACACCCGGCAGCAAGGTCTCTGATCGAATGATTGGATGTTTTAAAGTGCGTAGAACCACCTCTTAATTTCTGTTCCCAGGTCTACCCTGGCCCGTGGTGGTAGCACCAGTTAGGGTCGCAGCTATGGGCAAATAGTGAACTCACAAACAAAAACGAAAAAAAACTATGAAAGTATAAAATAGATTTTTATAGTAAAAATACCAGCAATATATTTTTATATAAAAAAATTGCCAACAATATATATTTATAGTAAAATTACCAACAATACATTTTATCTGTAATTGAAGCCATAAATTTGTGTTCCAAATATTTAGATTTCAGCATTAAATAACCCATATAGACGTTGATATGCCACTAAACAAAATCAACCAAACAAAAAACATGAACAAACGCTTTCATGACATTAATCCAAATAATATCCTACAATTTCTTAAAGAAATCAAACTGTATTGCAAAATATAACTTCAACCACAACATAAAACACACATATCACTGCCTCTAGTAATTATGTCCAGCCAAACATGTATATGCACAAAAGCTGAGTATTATCTACCATTAATTCAATTGTGAAAGCAGAATAACATATACAGTGCTGTGCAAAAAAATGAGGCTCAGTGGAATTTTTTGGGAAAGAAATTTGTATTTTCTTAATATTTTAGATAAAAAATAGTGATTTTAAAAAAAAATGTGTGTAAGTAAGGGAAATGATACAATGTCTGCAATTTTACAAAAAAAAAAAAAAAAATTAAATTTTTTGCAATTTCTCGAGTCTATTTTCCAGATTTTGATAAGGCAACTAATGCTACTTTAACAGATTGCGATGGGTGCTTATAGATTTTCATAACAAGTGACTTATTAATTATATTTTTGGTTTATTGTTTATACTTTAAAATAATTCTAGAACTTTCTCGAAATTTTAAAAATATTCTGGAATAAAATTATGGAAATAAAATTACGATGTTGTTTTAAAATAATGACACATTTTTAATGAGGCACTTTTTTGCACAGTAAATATTTACCTTAAAAACAAAACGTAACATGCTTTAGATTTGTTTCTTGGGAATTTTTTTGTAAAATTTAAATTTTTTTATATTTATTTTTATTTATTTATATTTATTTATATTTTTGGGAATTTTGAGGAATATTTTCTGGAATATTTTTTGGAATATTTTTTAATATATTTTTATTTAATTTTTTTTTTTTAAATTTAATGTTTTTTTTTTGTACAATTGCAGACATTGTATCGTTTTCCTGACTTAAACACAAATTTTTCAAAACTCTATTTTTTATCTAAAATATTAAGAAAAAATAAGATTTTTCCAAAAAAATTTGACTGTCACTTTTTTTTGCACAGCACGGTATCATATTTTTATTATTTCAAAACTCCCAAGAAAATTAAATTTTGCCATTAAATGACCCATAAGGAGTTGATGTGCCATTAAATAAATCAAATTAAATTAAATTAAAGCCAAAAGAATACTCTCTCCTACCAAAAAGTTAATAAAAAATAAAAATACGGGTAGGATTATTGATATACTATGAATTGAACCGGAGTTAAAACATGTAAAAAAAAATGTTATTAGGACTAAACAGGAAATGTCCGTCAAAAAAGGTTACTCCTGGTTTTGAGACAGAATGAGTCAGAGAAACTATATGGTGGCTTAAATTGTGAAAACCAAAAGAAAGAAAGAAAGAAAGAAAGAAAGAAAGAAAGAAAGAAAGAAAGAAAGAAAGAAAACGAGAATAATGAATTAATGAAAAATATAGATAAAAGAAAGTGAGAAATAACAAGGAAAGAAAGAAGGCAAGACATAAGAAAAAAAGAAAGCGAAAATAATGAGATTTATGAATGAAATAAAGAGAACGTGATAAAGAAAGAAGAAAACATTGTAAGAAAGAATGAAAAGAATAGATACGGAGACAAGCAGTTTGTAAAGTGAACAACAAGAAAGAAAGAAAGAAAGAAAGAAAGAAAGAAAGAAAGAAAGAAAGAATTAGACATAACAAAGAAGGAAATAAAAAAAAAACGAGATATACAAAAGAAAGCAAGAATATAAAAATGAGTAAAATACTTTCTCCTCGCCTTTGGAACTGGAAGTTCAACGTCGCACTCGTAATAGTTGGAGCAAATATTTAAGATGGAATTAATGATTAGATAGGATGCCGAGTAAAGTGCTGGAGATTTGACTAGACTTTCTGTCACTCAGTCTCTAACGATAACTAACAAAAAATTGTGTAAATATGTGAAATAATAATAATAATAATAATAATACGGAGATAAGGACCTGTTACGATTTTATGGGACTACACAATACACACTGACAGAACAATCAAAGTCAACTGCCCAGACATTGTTATTGTTATTAGAGACCGCAAACAAAACAAGTGTCTCCTTATTGATATGGCAGTCCCTGCAGACTGTAATGTATCTCTGAAGATCTTCAAAAAGCTATCAAAATACAAGGACCTTGAAATCGAAATCTCAAAAATGTGGCACATGGGAATATCAACGATCCCTATTGTAGTTGGAGCCCTCGGATTGATTGGAAAAGATTTCAGTAGACTAATTAAAGGGATCCCTGGAAGCCCATACCTTAAAGAAATACAAAAAATTGTTCTCACGAGTACAGCCCACACCTCACGAAGGGCTTTATCTATGTAAATTTTTTTTCCCTGTTTTTTTTTTTATTATTATTGGTCAGTGGAAAATGTCATGATGCCATTTCTAACCTTAGATCTCTCGGTATAACCCGGAAAGAAATGTGTACACACCAAAAATCAAAGGAAATAAAATAATAATAATAATAATAATAATAATAATAATAATAATAATAATACCCTGATACTGCGACATGAATGGCTCTCATGGCTTTTGATCTTGATCGATTGAAAGTGTTCAAATGAATATGTTTTGTCGTCGTGAATTAGGACCGACTACAGTAAATATCCTTTTCCGTTGCCTGACTTCAAACAGTTGGGCATATCCATTAGAAGCAGATACTCTCCACCTCGCTGTTCATGAGCGAGAGTAACGTGAGAGCAAGACCTCCGAGTCTAGCTGTCGGGATACAGTCTTTGACTGTAAGCGACGTCTGTCGAACTCTCTGCGTTAGCAGAGAGGAACTCGGACGAAGCTTTGCCGAAGGGCAAGGTTTCGTTCGGGGAGGTAGACAGGCCCTGAACCCGTTTAGGCGGTTTCAAAGGCTATATTTTTGGCCGAGCCTACGGGCTCGGAGATACCCACATTAAACTGGCCTTGTGCCATATTCAATCCTTGTGGGTGGATCGATAAATAGCGAGCGAGAGTAATGTGGAGACTTGGGAGTCACATCAAGATACTTGAGAACACTCTCGATCGATAATTGGGTTACCTGATCTGAAACTATTTCCAACAAGCCCCGCTCACATCTGTAAGGGATACGCACTGCTTTTATCAAAACCTTACACCATTATAGCGTACATTTCGCTGTGATGCATGGGCCTCGCACAGCAAACCTCTCACTGCTCTGTAGCTATTTCCATGAAAAGTGTTCAGACTAACTACATTCCTGAATTCTACCAGTTCTAACTTTCCCGGGTAAGACCCGCCATGCCAATCATATTGTAGTTAACCATTTTTTCCCCTTGTTATTCCATTAGTGAGATGTAAGTTCTAGTCGAAGAGCTTCTTCCAACGAACCGCTGCTTTGTGGAACGAACTCTCAAGTGGATGCTTTCCCGGTCGCTACAATCTTAACTTGTTCATGCGTAGAGTTATACATTATCTTCCCCAGATATCTCCATAAACTGTACATCTCACTCTGTGGAACAATGGACACAAAAAAGTTAAGCAAGCACAAATCAGAAAATTAAAGAAACTCTGAATGATAAATAGATAAACGTTCACATGATATTTATTTAACGGTCGTAAGACTGTGAAAACGACCTGATCGTTGCGATATAAAAGAATAAGATGTAAGTTAAAAAAAGAAGATGAAAAAGCAAATAATAGTGGCAAGGCCTTTAGAAATTCAGATTTAGACAATAATCTTGATTTTATGCCTCGCCTTTTCGGTTTTTTTTTTTTTTTTTTTTTGGAAGGGGTATCAAAATCTTGAATTTCCTCTATTCCTTTGAGTGTCTGTTAATCTATTTTGGAGAGAGATGGGAACGTTGGGTGTTTCGATGTGTTTAAATCTGAAACATTTTTTCTGTTTATTCCTCGTTTTTTGCCCCTATAGAATTTACCTTCATGGAGTGATAATCTGTTTTTCCGTCCCAAACGCCAACCATTTTTTTTAAACTTGAATAAATGCTAAATAAATAAACAAGTAAATAGAGGAAAAAGAATCGAGAAAACAAATACAAAGCAGAATAGAAAAAAAAATCGCATTCTTCCATCCGACACCTGTCGCCATTTTGTCATTTTCTCAATTAAGTGACTCAACAAACAACAACGCCATTTTTGATAGTCGGTTCCGTGTCCTTTGCTTCGATATTTTCTATCCTTACTGCCAAAATTAAAAAACAAAAACAAAAAAACAAACAAAAGTCTCAGCAAAAACATCTCACAACAGAAACAATAAATCTTATTTTGTTTATGTCGTTCTCACTACAAAAGAAGTGAGATCACTGAAACTAATTATTCCCCGATGACATTTCACGAAAAAAACATTGAAAATGTAATATCGTGTCAAAAAAGAACCGGGATAACAAGTTTATTATTATTATTATTATTATTATTATTATTATTATTTTTATCATCATCATTATTATTATTATCATTATTATTATTATTGTTATTATTATTATCATTACTATTATCCTTATCATTATTATTATCATCATTATTATTATCATTGTTATTATTATTATTGTTATTATTATTATCATCATCATCATCATCATCATCATTATTATTATCATTATTATTATCATTATCATTATTTTTATTATTATTGTTATTATTATGATTATCAACATTATTATTATTATCATTATTATTATTATTATTATTATTATCATTATTATTGTCATCATCATTATTATTATTGTTGTTGTTATTATTATTATTTTTATTTTCTTTGTTTTCTGGCGTTTACACATTTCTTTCCGGGTCCCGCCCAGGGACCTAAGGTTAGAAATGGCATCATGACACTTTCCACTGACAAAAAAAAAAAAAATACATCGATAAGGCCCTTTGTAATGTGTGGGCTGTACTTCTCAGAACAATTTTTTGTATCTCTTTGAGGCATGGACTTCCAGGAATCCCTTCAATTAGTCTACTGCAATCTTTTCCAACCAGTCCTAGGGCTCCAAATACAACAGGAAATGTTGATGTTCCCATATGCCACATTTTCGAGATTTCTATTTCAAGGTCCTTGTATTTTGACAGCTTTTTGAATATCTTCAACGATACATTGCAGTCAGCAGGGACTGCCATATCAATAAGGAGGCACCGATTTTGTTTGTGGTCTTTAATAACAATATCTGGGCGGTTGGCCTTGATTGTTCTGTCAGTGTGTATTGTGTAGTCCCATAGAATTGTAACAGGTCCTATCTCTGTAACCAGGTCTGGGTGGTGTTCATACCATTTGCATTATCATTATTATTATTATTATTATTATTATTATTAGAAAGATACGTCAAAATTTCACGGTTTTTCCATTTTGATTTTCTGATGATTCTTAAATTCTTAAATCTCTATATATAAATGTGTGTATGTGTGTGTGTCTGTGAGTTCGCGAACTACTGGAGAACCATAAGTCATAGTTCTACCAAACCATAAGTCATAGTTCTACCAAATTTGGAACATAGATTGTACTCGATACTGGGTGTGTCTGGGCAAAAAATTTGTCATTTTTCAAAAATCAATAACCGATAATTGATAAATATAATGTTTAAATGGGAATTTCCATTAGTTTGTTTTTTTTAAACTTTCAGCCATGAAGTCTAAACCCTAAGGTCGATTTTAGTAAAACTTGATAAGTGTATGCAACTTACTGTCACGCTTATTATGCGCTATATTGATTTTCATTTCTCTCGATACTGGGACCCCCAGGGTGTATCAAATGGACCCCCAAAAACTCAATTTGCTTCGATTTTGATGAAATTTTGCATGTTTGTTACGATCTTACAATGAGATAGAAATCGGTTGTCAGATTTTTTAAAATGCATGATGGGGCCCCCAGGATGACCCTATAAACCCCTTGATGCCTCAATTGCTTTTCAAGTGTATTTTGTAGCAGTATTCCTCAATTTCAACGAAAATTTCAGTACATATTGAGATTATATCGAGTAACTGAAGTAGTCACTTGGAATTCACTGAAAATCAACACTGGGACCCCCACGAGTTAGGGGACCAGCAGGGAACCCCGAAATTTTCAATTAAGTCTACAGCCTTGGCCATAAAGTCGATTAAATAGAAAACTTAAAAAATATGTGCTTTATTATTTCAATTACTATTAGTCTTAAACTTGTCATTTGGCTTGAAATTTGGGACCCCTACATGAATCAAAGGGATCTCCAAATTTTCAAATTGCTTCGATTTCGACGGAAATTTACATGTATGTTACAATCTTAAAATGAATCAAAAACGATTATCAGATTTTTAAAACTATATAAGGGGCCCCCAAGGTAACCCATGAACACCTTGCTGTCCCATTAGTCTTTCAATTGCAGTGGTTAGCAGCATTCTGATGAAAATTTGCACATAATTTCTGTTTAGATCAATCAACTCAAAATCAAAACTGACACCCCATGTGTCATAAATACATTATAAAAAACTTCAGTTTTTCCCATGGATTTCCCGTTTTGGTACTGAAATAGTTTAGTTTGCGTTAACTTGACATCAAAAATTATATCCTTCCTTAAGAAAAACGAATAAGTGCAAACGAAAGTGTGCATCGATGAGAGAAGTGCACGTAGATATAAGACGCGTGTGTGAGATCGATCGAGATGTGTAGTGTGTACAATTGATTTTGCTTCACGTGCAATGATCGATCGAGTTATGTAGTGCGTACTATCGATTTTGCTTCACGTGTAGTGTTTATTAGTGCTATGTGATGAAATAAATGCAAAAAAATCTCATTCGCATCAAAGTTGTCATGCAGCAAAAAGATAGGCTGCCTT